TCAATATGGGTTGTACAAAACAGTTAAAACCCTATGGTTTTAGGAGCGTATAGTAACTGATTTACTGTACTGATTTAAACTCTAAAAGCTAACAGCAGAATCTTATAAGTAGTGGCAAAAGAGAAGTGAATGAGACTTGTCCTATGAGCAAGTTCATGTCAGTCAGAAGCAAACCATCCAAGTATTTACTGAGGTTGTATATGCTTCATCTTTCCACATCAACTACCTGCCTATACTACTATCCAAAAAAGGAAACAATCAGGAAATACTGATGACAATACTTAACAGGTAACAGGAAAAAATGGAACAAGACACAATAAAGAGCGACAAATATTATGCTGCTGCAGGCGTAAGGGAGGTGCAAATCCAAATCACTAATTTTTTTCCCCCCAAGTCATTTATGTAAACAAGGCAAGGATCTCTGAGGTTTACAAATACCTGTGGTTTTAGACAGATCATTTACATCAAGGACTGCCCTCTTAAATCTCAGTATGATATTAAGTCAATTTCTGGAATACTATAAGTAGGAAAAGAAAGTCAGAAAATGTAAGATTTCCATCACAAATTTTGAGGTGTAAGCAATTAACAGGAGCCTCAGTTCATTCACCTTGTAAACGAAGTCCAAAAACCAAAAAACATGATTGAGGTTGTTAAAGGCTAAGTTCCATAATTTATCCAGAGCTTTTTTAGCCAGAACTTACTCAGGTTGGTGAAAGTGATGTGACAAGACTTGCCTACAGAACCATCTTTTGGGAAATGTAAGATTTGCATCAGCATCCTCAATAACAACTCCTCTTTTACTTCTCATTCAAAGAGTAGCAACAGGTACAAAGACAATACAACAAGGTCATACTAAATCTTTCATACTCAGCAGCTCAAGCCCAAGTCTGCAGCCAAATCATTCTAACATACACACTACCCATAGCAGAACAATTCAATAACTGAGACGGCACCTGAAAAAGTTCTTCAAACATCTGTTCGCAACATAGGTCAGAGATAGAAATCTTTATTATTATTCACAGCATCATTAGGAGATAATAAAAAGTTTTCTCAATGGTATCTGCTCAAACTGACGTTTGAAAAAAAAAAAAAAAGAAAGAAAGAAAAAGGAAAAAAAAGCTACAGATAAGAAAAATAAGGTGAAGTTACCTTAAATACAAATCACATCAAAGTCATTCTCAAATTAAACTGAGAAAAAAGCATGGTAGCTACATAGCAGCATCACTATCACCAGTGTTAACTCTCAAGCACTCAGTATGGTAAGTAATGCAAAATTAATCTGACGTATTTATAAAGCATTAAAAGTTATTAATAGAATAGTTCTTCCAATTTATATTTATTTATACACCTTTCGAAGCAACTACCCTCCTCTAAGAAGAATTTTCTATGCATTCTCCATATGAAAAGCAGTACTTCAAGAAATTAATATTTTATAATTCTTTCAGTGTCATCTTCTGAAAATCACTACATTTCAGGATTCATAGCACACTATTCTGCCCTCCGAGAGGATTCTGGCTTTGTACAGGAAGGCTGCACAGCACCTAGACATGATTTTTGTCTGCTAGAATGCTCTGGTTGAAATCCTGATCCCATTGTTCAATGGCAAAACTCCCAGTAACTTCAGAGATGGCAATATTTCACGGCTGCAACTGAGCCCTGTGCCTTGCAATTTATACACGTGAAGAGGAGAATCAAATACTAGCAGAATAAATTTATCTTCTTAATTAGTTATGAAGTTCTTTATTTTGTTAAGTTGTTCCTTTAAAAAAGGGCTGGGGTGTGTGTTTTGAATTAAAGAGAGTGAATTAAAGAGTACCACAACATGCACCAATAATTTTTTATCCTATAGAAGTAAGAGGGAGAAAAACGAAGGCTGCTTTGAATGCAATCCCTCCTATTTTATTATTATAGCCCACAAAGTCAAGAGTCGGATGTTTGGCAATAGAGGCTAAATCTTCTTGCCAATGCTCTGCCAGTTTGTTGCTGTGCGACAGATGGCAGCAGAGGGGCAGTCTGACAGAACGGCATCTGACATTCCAGTGAGTATGAAGCAAAGGTGCGTCACAGAATTCCTCCATGCAGCACAAATCACACCTATTGACATTCACTAATGCCTGCTGAACATCTTATGGATACCAAACAGTGGCTGTGAAGTGAAGGGTGGTGCGTTTTAGCAGTGCTAACAGCATGTTGCCTCTGCTTGTGCAGATTTTTAGAAGCAAGTGGTGAACTTGCTTTCACTTACACTTTCACTGGTGAAAACACACAGCTAATGGTGGCAACTGTGTGAAAAAGAAGATTTCGCAGCTAAGAATTTGCTCTAATAGTTTTATTGTGTTCTTTGCATCTGTTGTAGTTTCCAGGGAAATAAATAGGAGCCATTACTTTTGGAGATTTAGCAGCTCTTTGACATTCAGCTGGGAAACCTCTGGATTTCTATTTTAGAAGAGTGTATACTTGAGCATATATTTAACTAGCTTTGTAAGCATTAGACTTTTCCAATATTGCTGATTCTGAAGATAGCACAGAATTCTTATATGCAAGAATGAAGTCAAGCCAGAAAAACATCAAATGAGTATGAAAAGGAACACATTGGGGAGCTTGGAAAGCTTTCATTACAAATTTGAGCTATACTTGGCTTAGACAAACATTCTGGCACAAACATCAGCACTCTGTTAGTCTTTATGCTTGTGAAATATTCACAACTTCTTCAAAGGATGAAAAAGGTAGTTTATTTCTCATTTACCAGATTCCTTAAGCTGGTTAAATACCTATAAAATGTGCTTATTGAAATCCAGTTTTGAATTTTTTTTAAGGATAAAATTAATAGTATTCACAAGATAATCCATCCTTTTCATTTATACACAGCAAATGAACACTTTTTTTTTCTACCTAAATACAAATAGTTCAGTTAATTTGCTTCTGAGATCTGGACACTGAGACGTAATGAGCTGAAATGTAGGATCACCAATGCAGAGTAGACATTATTCATCTAAATGAATAACATTATGACTACTATTTACATTTGTGTTGTCTCAAAAATTCCTCACCACTGAGCTGATTATAACCTAGTCATACCATTTTAGAAAGTAATAAGAGTCTCAAATGGGAGGATTGCTATTACCTTATGTGTAAGCTGAGTGTGCAAATAATATCAATAGCAGTCACCTTCCAGTGTGCTACTTAAGTACCAGACTTGCTTTACATATTAGTGAGCCCAGAACTCAGTCCAGCCTTCAAATTTATTCTAGGAAGTCAGCTGGAAACTTGGAGTCTTTCATCTTGATTATAATGAATACTATCTAATTTCTTAAGTAGAGAGCCAACTGTGAGCCAAACTTTTGGTGTAACAAAACTATTTAAGTAATGGAAAGATGAAAAAACTTGTGATTTCAGATCACAGCTGCACACAGCACAGAATGTTTCCTTTCTCAACTATTTAGCATTAATTATATTATCAGAAAGTACAAATCATATTTAGGTGAATATGCTGACAGCCAACTGCAGCATTAAGACTGGCCTTTCTGCTGGCTTGCCAAAGAACAGCTTGAGCCTTGTCTTCCCCCTCACATAAAAGGTCACTGCTCTTTTCAGGACACCTTTACTTTGCCTTCCTCTAAACTGGGTCAAGACATTTCCAAACAAAATTTGTGCTGTAGTTGAGATCATTTATTTTCAATGGCGAAAGTATGGTTAGTAGGAATGCTTTCAGCTCTTTCCAGCTCTCCAAACGCAGACTATTTCAGTAAACAAACTTGAGAAAATCCTCTAAACCAAAGCATAAGTGAAACTAAGTGAAGAACATACACCTATTTTGACCTGCTCTTCATACTTCTCACATTTGCCTCTTACAGTCTAAACAGCTTCAACTACTTATTCTCAAGTTTCAATTAAAAAAGATACAGATCTCTAGAGAAGAAAAGGAGGGAAGGAGGAAACTGTTAAATGGGCTGATTGAAACTAAGCATTTCGCAACCATGAAAATCATATAGCTCTGTCATCTTCCATAATGGTCTCTCATTATAGTCAGTGCCAGAAAAGATCATGAGATTTCCACTTCAGATGCACGAGCCTGACAGAGAGCTAGCAGAGATCTAAGCAGAAAGCACAGTCCCAGAGCACTGGCATTGTAAATGAGATGGGTTTTGAAAGTGAGCCAATTGGCAGTTCAATATTTCAATGATACAATGTACAGAAAGAATTGTGTAATCAGAGCCTTACTCAAGGAGTGAAAATTCAAAAGCTAACCTATGCTCATCGTAATTGTCTAATTGTCCAATAAAATTATTTATTGCTAAGAACTATAAGCTCAATAAAAGACCTTTTACAGGATTTCTCATTTTTTTCAATGTAGACTATGCAATGACAGGATAAGCAACTCAACTCTGTAGCTATTAAGTGTACCTTGGACATAAATCAACAGCAGATATTAATTATATGGTGATAAGATTTGAAGCTTTTATATTAGCTGCAATTTCAGCATTTTGAATGAGCTTTGTCCATATGAGCATCAGAAAATTAAAATCAAGCAATTGCTTTCTCCTTCAGTGGAGAAGCATCAAGGAGCAACAAAATTCCCACATATTTTTATTGCTGAGAATGAGATCCTCTGTCCTGCAAGTTTTTCCTTGAAGATCTCTCGGTAAAGAATTTCTCCTTCTCCTCAATCAGTGTAAATATGCACAACATATTTACTTGCATGTTAGTTATTTATTTATATTATATTTACATATTACTCATTACCTACAGCTATCCTGACGCTAAGGATCGTGAAGACAAAGACTTTCCAAAACATGGACCAACACAAATCCTGATCAAATTTTGCGATTCCCTCCTTCCCCATTGTAACTGCTAAGCTTTTGTAAATAAACCAAATAAATAAGATCTGTGGCTCTACAGAGATCTAATTTTTTTCTCCCTGCCTTGTCTTATCAGGTATAGTTATAAATGATACATTTGAGTTTTGGATAAATAAATAAATGAAACTCAATATGACTCACGTGTAGACTTCTGTCAAGAGTGCCTTGAGAAGTTAGTGCTGCCATTTGTGTTCAGCTCCATCACTTCTTGTCTAGTGCAAACTTCGTACATATATGTTTTTTTTTGTCAAAAGCATCTTCTAAAGCTGCTTCTCTCCATACCTATTAAAAAAAAGTGGATGCAGTTAATAAAGGCGGGAAGGATAGAATATGAATCTTCTGCTTGCTCCTGTTAAGTTGGAATTCTTTTTGTTTGTCGGTTTTTGTGTTTTGATTATATTGGTTTTGTTAGTCACAGATAAATCAACATGAACAGATTACTCCCCTGAAGGTCAGGCAAACAAGCCTAATGTCTGCACATTACAGTTTTTTTCCAAGTTGTAAGTAAGATGGGTAGTAGTGTAATAAAATAAAAGAACACTGCATTTTAGCCTCCCAGTTCTACTTTGCTTTTGAGTGTTCTCACTGCTGTTCAAGATCACATCTTTTTTTAGGCTCATTTTTCTGTTAGAAGCAGAAAGATCAGTATTAAATAATAAATCTGCAGATAACTAGATGTAAGGTTTCTGTAGCCTGCACAGAAATCACATCCTGCAGAAAGATTTTGCAATTATTTTGCAAATTAGAAGTAAAAATAATATTCCCAACATATTTATACTAGAAAACTATTTCATTTGCAGTATTATAAAATATATTTCTGATGCTGCCTTTTTTTGTATATGTATCGCTAAGTTTTTGCGACCAAGAAATTACAACCATCACTCAAGAAGTCAAAAGGAAAAATGTGAAGAAAAACATGTAGACTGCCTGTCACAAACATAATTATTTTCCGTACATTAAATTATGATACATATGAACAGATTTGACAGCAATATGAAATCATGTCTAAGAAAACAGGTAACATTTTTCAGAACAGTCAGCTAATAAAAATCTACTTAGTTCACAAACTGCGGTCTTTGAAAGTCTCTATCAAATACAGCCGTAGGAATAATTTTCTGGATGTTCAGTGAGCACCAGCTTAACAAGGGCATAAGAAGTTACTGCAGAACGTTGCATTTTCAGTTGTGTTTACATATTCACAATAGGACATACACATGTTCCTTATCTATACTATTCAAATCCAAACTTGAATTTCACCACAACTGATAGAAGAGTTAAATGTAAATACCTGAATGATTCTACTTCAGACACACAGAATTGGACATGAGAGGGCAGAGATAGTCTAACACTTGTCTCTGGTTTTGTGTTTCCAAGCTTTGGTCTTATTTGCACATGCTAAATCTGAATGAACATTTTTAAAAAATATATAAGAACTCAATTTTGATTCAGGATTAGAGATTTGCTCAGTTCTGCTATCCTTACTCATTTGAGAGATCCTATTCCAATTACTTCCATCAATATTGAGTGACGCAGAAGAAAAATTTCACTTCGTACATCTGAAAGAACTTGATATTAACGGCATATACACTGAAGTTAAAGAAAGGGAAAAAATGAAAGAAAAAAGTACAGGAAAAGTGTATAGGGCAACATTTGCATTATTTCTGCAATCTAAGTACCTTGCTTCAGATATCTTTAATAATGCAGAGGAGTTAAATAAAATCATCCAAGGGAATTTCTCTGCTTTATTGTACAATCAAGGGTTTTTTATTTAAGTTGCATAATACCCTAAGTTGTCTACCTGCCATGGGGAAATTAGAAAATATTCTGTCTTAAAGGCAGTTTAAAGAATTGCATTGTTAGAGAAAAGGTGAAACAGACCACAAAACCCTATTTTGGAAGACAGCGGTATTTGGTTTACATGAGAAATACCACCACAAACTCATTCACTCTGAAGTCATTTAATACTCCCTTGAGAAGCTCCTCCTTCCCTGTCACTGCTAAGATGATTCTTTTCATTTATTTTATGTTTACTTTACACTCCAGGCAATTGCCATTCCATATCTGAGCCATCCCAGTACAATCTCTAGCTTTTCACCTCATGTCCTTATCTCCTCCTTTGGTGCTTCATGCCAGAAACAAACATGGAACAGAGGTAAAAGCTGCTTTCAGATCATTCCTTTCATCAACTAAATATAAGAAAAAAAACAGCATAGGGTGTAAACAGCATTCTATGAAATGGAAGAAAAAAAAAAAAAACAACCTTCAAACTACACCAAGCTCATTCCGTGCCCCTACCTGTTTTTCCTTTTTTTTTTTTTTTCTTCTCCTTAAATCAAAGCAGCAAGGAAAATCTCTATATATACTGAAAAGAAAAAAAAAAAAAACCTTGCCGAAACCAATGCATCTGTATTAAAAATAGTGTTAAAATTCACAGTGTACCACAAACACCATGATAAAATGATCACCCTGAAATATCAAATATTAAAAATCAACTAAAATACAGAAACATGGATCTATACCTCTGACACTAAAAATGCACCCTCCTTCACTATTTTATGTTTTAAGAGTCTTGATTCTTCTTTGGAAAATGCTGCATACTTAGATGTCTAAATGAGTGATTGCAGATGCATGCAAGGACAATGTGCTGCATTGAAAGCATACGAAAACATGCATTTTCTCCGAATTTAATTAACCAGAAGCACTTCAATGACTAAGCTGTTATGTTAATATTATGTGAGTATGCCAATTAATAACTGGACTAATCAGAGCATAAGAGCACGGATACAGTCACTCACTGTTCAGTTAACAGACAAAACCTATAACACTTGAAACCCTTTTAAACCAGAAATGTGAATATTTCTTTTATAACATTAAAGCATCAGCTAATATTCCATGTCATTTCCAACAGAAAACAGCATGCATTTCTTTGAAAAGCTGAAAAATACAGCAATTCCACAGTTATTTTCAAGTCAGGTACACCCAGCACTCCTCACTGTTCTGCAACTGCTGTCTGCTTCAACTGTTTTGAGTAAATCCCACTTAACATTTATTGCTTATTTCGGTGTTTCGGAAAATTACCAAGTCTGAGAACCCCCTAAAAAGACAGCGCTTCTTGCTACAGGAAAATTGTGGAAAGCCTTTTGATTTTCTCCCTAGAAGTGTCTCTCTAAGATCTTCGTTACAACTCTCTGCAGAAGACATAAGAACACCACTTCTGTGCCTATATCATAGAAAACAGATCAAATGCAAGCAGCCGTGGGTTTGTGGGTGGCAAATCGCTCAGCTTGGGAATGCACATTTCTCAGCTGTTTCATCAGTTGCTAAAAGAGAAATCAGAAAAAAAAGCAGAGACTAAGAGATAAGTAAGTTGTTCACGCACATAACTAAAAGGCTGCAGCTACTTTCCCGATCACTTTAACAGAGGTTGAGAAGATTTCTATGTCAACCAATGAAGGAAGAGGTAGTTTCAACTTTTTTTAGATTTCATTAGAAAGGGAAATGAGAAAGGATGAATGACAGCAACTGAAGGACAAAACATGCTCAGGTCATAACATTTACCAGTCTTAATTCTGGGCGGAAAAAATAAAATACACATAACATGGACACAGTGCAACAAAACATAAAAATACTAATAATCAGTATAAAACTAACCTCTTAATAGCTTAAATGCAGGAGATGGACCAGAAGATATCTTCGCAAACTAGGAAAGTACATTTAACCCACAGTATCCCAATTCCTTTCACGCAGTAAATAGCAGCTACACGCATCAGCCCACAACCATCTCTGCAGAAGACATACAGGGATGGTAACTGTCTCACACATATACAGCCAGGCAGATCAAAAGGTCTAACAAGTTCACCACAGCTTGTATTTCCTCACAGTTACATAGAAGATAGGGCTTTTGTTTAGCTGGTTTGGGTTTTTTGGTTTTTTTTTTTTCTTTTTTTTGAGTATGTTTATTTAGTTGTTTAGGTTTCTTTTGTGTGTGCTTTGCCATTGTTTGTTTACCAGGGCAATATACAATTAGGAAATGACATTCACAGCAGCATAATTAAAGTATTCATTCCACTTTTCTTGTATCTCGGCTAAGGAAACTTCTGCTAATTGATGTTGGTATTCTCAAAACTTTCCTTCCTAAAACAAAACACAGGCAAGCACTGGTGATGAGCATGTTCCACCTTCCCTTCTTTTTCTGGAAACACTACTTCTGAGAATAACACAGCTTAAAGCAGCAAGGTCTTGATTAAGAAAATCACAATTTGAGTGTTCATGAACAACAGAAGTACTTTCTTAGCTATATAACAACTTGAACACTGAAGTACTTCATTTTCTTTCAGACTATATTATCCCATAGGCTTTCACAGAATAACAGAATTGTAGGGGTTGGAAGGGACCTCCAGAGATCATCGAGTCCAACCCCCTTGCCAAAGCAGGTTCCCTACACCAGGTCGCACAGGTAGGCATCCAGGCAGGTCTTGAACATCTCCAGAGAAGGAGACTCCACCACCTCCCTGGGCAGCCTGTTCCAGTGCTCCGTCACCTCACTGTAAAGAAGCTCTTGCGCACATTTGTGCAGAACTTCCTATGCTGCAGTTTCCGGCCGTTTCCCCTTGTCCTGTCTCCACTCACCACTGAAAAGAGTTCGGCCTCGCCATTCTGCCCTCCACACCTTAGATATTTATAGACCTGGATCAGGTCCCCTCTCAGTCTTCTTTTCTCAAGGCTGAACAGACCCAGTTCACTCAGCCTTTCTTCATAGGAGAAATGCTCCAGGCCCTTCACCATCTTTGTGGCCCTCTGCTGGACTCTTTCCAAGAGATCCCTGTCTTTTTTGTACTGGGGAGCCCAGAACTGGACGCAGTACTCCAGATGAGGCCTTACTTCTGGGCATCTCATGAACAGTTTTCTTACAAAGCACATTTTCTTTCTCATAAACAAAGAAGGATTGTTGCTCAACATCCTGTAAACAGATACACAGCATCTTGAATAAATTTGTTTCATGTAATCACTGGACAAGTTTCCTTGTATACCTCAATTTCCCTTACTTTGATTCAATAAAGAATAAGGATTATAAAAAATATTTCTGCACTGGCACCCTGTCTAAAAGGCATGCAGACTAACAAAAGACAGCTGAGAGGGATATTCAGTAACTGATCCTTTATTTTTTCAAATCCTATTTTTTCTCATTCATTTGGAAGCCATTTTTTGCTGCAACTTCATTCATCACCAAGGAACAGTTAGTAGACAAGCTCAAGCATGAGTTAAAGGAATGATTAAAAAGG